TGTGCTTAGCCCTATCTGTTGAGTCTATCCCTGTTTTAAAAGCTAGAGTTCGTAGGATATATCTTCATGACCAAGATGGTTTTCGTATATCTATATATATATCTATATGTATTGTATATCAACACGTTGGAGTGGGTTACCAGCATCTCTCGCTGAACAGATATATTTGGCTTTCAGGCACAGACGAGTATATCACTGGAGCGCGCTAGAAGCTTGGGGGCATAGCTTAGATGGTTTTTCCCTTTCGGCCTGCGTGCCATGATTTAGTACTGATACTGATTAAGGTCTTAGAATTTAGCCTGTGCACCCGAGTTCTCTAGCTCGGGTGTGGCATAGCACCCCGTACTCCTTGTATCGTATCTTGGGATTTTATGATATTCTATATTTATTATATAAGTTTTAAAAGTCTTGAAAATCTGGGTTGTTACAGTTGGTATCAGAGCCTAAGTTTGACCCTAGGATAAGACTCTTAAAACCGGACTTTAGGACATTAGGCTTGAACTCTAGGTATTTAGGAACATAGGACTCGGGAATTTTAGGACGCGCGGTGAGATTGTGAAACCTACACATAAACCCTCTCACTTCATTCCTTCCTTGTCTAAAGAAAACCTTCCTCCGCTTATCACGTCAAAGAAGGACACCAAGCTCTAATTTAATGTTCTTATAAACATTGACTCAGAAAGACGACAGCATGGCACCCAACAGAAGGCAATCAAGGACTCCGGAACCCACCACACACGACCCCCTGACCCAAACACTACAACAACTAACGCAAGTCGCCCAGGCACTAAGCGACGTAGCTCTTCGCAACAACAGACCCCCGCCTCCTCCATCAAACACGAACTTAGACGTCGCCCGACAAGTTTCAAATCATCGACCACCCACGTTCTCAGGAAAAGAGGACCCCGTGATCCTGGAGGAATGGATCCGGACCCTCGACAAAATCCTCGGGTTAGTGGAATGCCCAGAAGAACGTCGCGTAGAGATAGCCTCGTTCTACTTCGGACACGAAGCCGATCTTTGGTGGATCCACGAGGGTCCCGCTTACCAACAAGAACCAGGGTTCAATTGGGAAAACCTCAAAACACGAATACGAGAACGATTCTACCAAACACACGTAAAGGCAAAATAACATCAACCAATGAACACCAGGATGGCGCCAAAAAGGAAACAGGTAGGAACACCGAAACTCCCCACCCAGGAATTCTTGACTCAGAATCTGCAACGCCTGGCCCAAATTGCCCAGGCACTGAGCACTTCCATTCCCCAGCCATCACCAACAAACGAGAACTTGGAAATCCACCACCAAGTCTCAGCACACCAACCACCCATCTTCTCGGGGAACGAAGACCCCACGACCCTCGAGGAATGGATCGGGACTTTTGACAAGATATTCAGGGCAACCAGATACTTGGAAAACCACCAAGTAAAAATAGCCTCCTTCTACTTCAGACACGAGGCCGACACCTGGTGGGCTCACGAAAGACCCGCATACGAACAAAGCCCCGAATTCAACTGGGAGACCCTAAAAACACGACTACGAGAACAATTCTACCCCAACCATCTAAAAGCCACCATATACGATGAGTTCCTCCACCTAAAACAAGGGGCGGCCCCGATCACGGAATACTACCAGCAATTCCGCAGACTGGCTCGCCTCACCCCCGAGCTGGTGCCCACCGAGATGAGCAAGGTCAAGAAGTTCATAACAGGCCTTGACCCCGAACACCAGAAAGCCCTAGCTACACAGGAATCGAGAACCCTCAGGGAAGCCTATGCCAAGGCATTCCAACTACAACAAGTATCAAACCAACCCCGGGAGACACACCTGGGGTACAAAAGGAAACCTGAGGGGAGTCACACAATTCCCACCCGAGGACCTAAAAACCCCAGGACCGTCTCACCCCACAAGGTCGCAACGCCAATCATTCAAGGAAGAATCTTACCCTAAGCAAGGCCAGGATCGGAGACAGCAACATAGTCTCCGGAACCTTCCTAGTACACACCACCCCCGACACTATACTATTTGATTCGGGGGCTACCAACTCATTTATAGAAACCGAATTCGCCACTCATCTCGGCCTTAACACCAGCACCAAAGTCCGACTCCAGGTCAAAGTGGCCTCCGGCGAAATCATAAAATGCGACCGCATGTACGAGAACATAAGGATCACCATCCAAGGAGTGGAATTTCCCAGCAACTTAATACAATTCAGACTGGATGGGGTGCAAGTGATCTTGGGCATGGACTGGCTAGGGAAATTCCAAGCACAAATCCTATGCGGAGAACAAAAAGTGGTCCTACGGGGACCAAACGGTAAAAGGGTGTCATACCATGGAACCCGCCAGGGTCCAGAGATCAAACTTGTAAACATGGTGAAAATAAAGAAATACCTAAACCAAGGAAGCGAGGCCTTCCTATGCTCGGTCGAGGACCTCAACACCAAGGCACCCGAACCACAAACCATTCCAGTAGTAAACGAACGGCACATAACCTATCATGCTTTTCTAAACATAATCAACACCCAAACATGCGATTACCCCACCCGATAATCCAAGAATAATATCATACGATACAACCTAGGTTCTAATCACTTTTATATCAACAAGAATACGATTCGCCTTCTAATTGCAAGATTCGGTAAGAATAACACATAAGCATCAAGGGCATCACACAATTATCAAGAACAACACATAATCATCAAGAACTCCATATAATCATCAAGAACATCATAATTATCAAGAATCTCCCAATATCAAGATTATCAAGATCCCCCATGGGATCATCACATCAATCATCAATCATAATCATCACAAGTCATTAATACACAATAATATGGGGAAACCCTAAGGGGGAATCATAACTATGAAAATAGGTTTTGTTGAAACATGGGTTACCTCTTAGCCTTAATTAATTCCTTGGCTATGAAGGGTCTTTCTTTAGGCTTTCTTGATTTCTTCTAGGGGGATTCTTGGAGCTCTTTGGGGAGGTGGGGCGTTATTCTTGTGGGGGGGTTTCTAGGTGCCTCTTAAGTCCCCTATTTATATATTTAGGAGTCCTAGTTAGGGACTAATATTATGGGCTTGCTAGTTCTATTTCTTTTGGGACTAAGGATTGGGTTTAGGGATAAGGGCCCGTGGGCTATGGTGGGCCTTCCTAATTAATTATTGTGATTTAATTCTTTCTTTTGGGTAATTGATTAAATGATTTAATTGATCTTAGGGGTCGTAACACGGGGTGTTACAGGATATCTTTACAAAGTCTCTTTCGTCTCTTCGTTTTAATTCTCTCCGTGACAAGCTCAATGTTTTGGCTAGTCAACCTTGTGCTTGAGGGGGAGTATTAGGACTATATTATTCATATTAGACAAGGACTATATTATTCGTGTTAGACTAGGACTCTATCTAGTATCTATATATTCGCTCTCTGTATACTCCATACCTTTTCTACATTAAAAACAAATACACCGAATTGTCTAAATGGATTTTTTTTTGTCGGCCCATCCAATTTCCTCTAACTCCAAATTTCTAACCCTAACCCTTTATATACTCGTTACCATTTCCCCCATCTACCATCCCGGCCTCCCCCTCCCTCTCTCTCTCAAAGCACCAAAATCCTCTATCAGTTTAATCCTCTCTCTCGCTCTCAATATCTCTTAACTCTCGTCTCTCGATTGAAAAACAAGGTTTCCTTCAATCGTCATTGAAACTCCTTAGATTGAGAAGGTAATCTCTAGTCTCAACGCCTTTGCTAGCTATAAGACTTGATTTTTTTTTTTGTTTTGGTTTTTGTTTTTTTTTTGTTTTGTTTTTTTTTTTTGTTTTGCTTCTTTTTTTTTTTTTTTATTTTGTTTGTATTTTTCCAAGTGTAGATGTATGTTGTCCATTTGAACAACCAACAAAAAAAAAAATTGTTTTTTGTAAAGAAATTGAAATGGGGAAAATATGGACAAATTTATTTTGAAACATATTTTATTGAATACATTTTCTATTTTTCCTAAATTTTTGATACTTAATACACCCGTATTTACAGACGCGACCCCAATTAAATATGAGGAAGAGCAAAAAAAAAAACACTACTAAAATTGAAATAGCTTTTGCGCTATTTTGATACAATTCTCTCTCTCTCTCTCTCTCTATCTATCTTTATCTCTATCTTTCTCTCTATATCTCTCTTTATATATATACTTCTAAAATAATTTCAAGTTTTCATTTTCATTAGAAAGCAATTAAATCTGTTCAAATCTATTTATTTATCAATTTGTAAAATATGAAACTAATAGACATTAAATTTGTTTCTTCATAAAGCAATAAATATGTAGTGACAATTTGATAAAAGTATCAAGTAATATTGTAACTATGTAGGTCGTTATGCCTTGTGGTTTGGTAGATGGGATAAAGTTAGAAATAACAGTAAAACATGTAAAACAAATATGAATGTGATAAATAGGATGATGGAAAGTCAGTAGAGATAATGGCAAATAGCTACGTGGGAATAATTTTATTTTTTAAAATTCTTATTAGCAGTTAATTAAAAATTAAATATTCAGAATGTGATAAATGGGATGAGGGATAGTAAGTAGAGATAGTGGTGTGGAATGTAGTTCTTGATTGTTAAAAAAAAAAAGAAAAAAAAAGAGTAGAGATAGTGGCAAATAGCTACGTGGGAATAATTTTATTTTTAAAAATTCTTATTAGCGGTTAATTAAAAATTAAATATTCATTTATTCTCATAGATAATTAATTTTTTTAGAGTACTTATAGATAATTAGTTAAAAACAAAATAAATTAATTTTATAATAATATACATACTGAAATTAATCAATGATGTAACACTAGCAATATTTATTGGAATGTTTTTGTAATTTGTATGGCTTTTATTACTTTTGTACTGACATTCATATTTTTTAAGGATATGAGTTTGGTATAAATATATAATTAATTGTATTTCTATTTTCAGATAAACAAAAGCTAAGTTTAATTTAAGACACACAATCAAGATGTCATTCCCTACTCCTAAGCGAAAGCGCCATATGCCACAACCAAATTTGAATCAAGATATTATCACAAAAATCCTTAAAAGGCTGTCTGTGAAGTCTCTGCTGCAATTTAGGTGTGTTTCAAAAGCTTGGTGTGATTTAATCTCATCTCCAGAATTTGTCAAATTGCACCTACATTTTCAATCAAAAAAAAGATAATAAGGTCATGACATATAGCACCGCAAATTGGATTAATAGCTATATGTCCTTGTTTTCTATTACAGAGAACAAGCAATCATCATTTCGCAAGTTTATTACATATGACCGCTTGGTCTTAATCCCTGAAGGTGGTTTCGAATTGTGGGGTTCTTGTAATGGGCTCCTTTGCTTTCGTGCTAAACCGTATAGATTAATCATTTGGAACCCATCATCAAATGGAAACATCAAGACAATCCCAGATGTCTGGCAGTTGGGCAACATCAACATTTTTGGATTTGGGTACGATGAGTGTAATGATGACTATAAGGTTGTTTATGCTTATTGTGATGGCAATGGTGATGAGACTGTAGTCTTGGTTTACACTTTTAAGCATGGGTCATGGAAAAGAAGTGAAAGAGGATTTACCAGTGGGTTTGTTCATCCAAAAATTGCTGTGTTTGTGAGTGGTAGTCTCAACTGGTGCAACAACAACTTACATGAAAGTGATTGGAATTGGGATATAATTTCTTTTAACTTAACCACTGAAACTGCCAAACCTATGGCGTTACCCAGCCATGAACATGCGGCCGCTATTTGTATAAGTGAATCAAGAGGATTGTTTTTTGCAGGTTTTCATCACAAACGTCAAATGGAAGTTTGGGTGATGAATGAGTATGGAGTTGAAGAATCTTGGACTAAACTAGTCTGCATTTCAAACTTACCAGTTTCATCATCCAGTTTCCCGGGGTTTCGAGAACACTACAAACATGGCTATATGTAATGCTAAACTTGGAATCGCACATTTTTCTGAAAATGGGGATATTCTAATGATGGTTGGACATCAGCTAAAGCTCCATAGGTCTAATGCTAAAGGGGGAAAGAATTTGAATATCCCTTATGGTCTTGGTTATATGGTAACTAGTTACGTGGAGACCCTTGTTTCCCCGGCCATGATTGGTCTGTAAATGATGATAGATGAAGTGGGCTACCAGGCGGCCAACAACAACAACAACAATGATTATTGTGTTATTGGTATTTTAGTGTTGTGAAGTATATTTTATTAGCCATCGCTGTTGAGAACTATTGATTTGTGTGAATGCAAAAAAGGTAAGCTATCATAGAAATGATTATAAGTTAAATTTCATTGCATTTTAAAACGTACAAACACAATGTGGAAAGCTTGAAACTTGAATATGGGGTAAATTTCTTCCATAGAGTGGGGGTTTTAATTTATTGACTATTGACATTTATCAATTCTTTTTCTCAAACTTTTAATTTGACCATATATTGTCTCATGACTATTGATCTTTAACAATTTTCATCATTTACGTACTTTTGATATGACTATAAATGGTCCATTGACTATTAATTTTGTTCTAAATTTCAAATATGAACCAAATCTAGAACAAAATCAATAGTCAGTGGACTATTTTCTCCTCCAATACCTTCTACCGTTGGAACTTCAAGAACGTTCCCGTTAAGTTATGGTATAGAGTGCTTTCCTAATTTAGTCCTTTTTATTGGTTCAGTACCCTATGCAACTTTATCCACAACCTTGGGAAACTGATGAGGTTCTTCTACCCCTCTCTTAGTCCCTTAGCTTCCAATTAGTCAGTCACCAGGTTGATAGAGTCCTTGCCAAATTTGCTTCTGGTTCCTCATCTCCTTCTAGATTCTCCTTTGTCTCCAAAATTTCAATAGTGGCTCTGTAACACCCCCCAAAAAAACAAGACCTAAAAACAAGTCTTAACACATGCAGATTAACACAAACACTAGCGCAGCGGAAGAAAACAGAAACTGGATAAAAGAAATCCAAAACAGGGGTGTTATGCCACGTCTACCACACCCGGTAAACGCTAAGGCGAACAATCTGCAAGTGTATCACTATCCCAAAACATCAAACTACAAACAGTCTAAAACCATTGGCTCGCAGGCCACAAAAACACAATATAAAGGTACAGGCGCTAAGCTACCCGCTCTAGACATCGCGCTCGACTACTCCACACCTGAAAGAACACAACGATAAACATCGGGGCGACGCCTGGTCAGCGAAAGATGCTGGTAACCCACCAATACCGTTAAGTATCATAAATAGGTAGATATAAGATATAAAAACCATTTTCGAAACAGAATACATATATATATATATATATATATATATATATATATATATATATATATATATATATATATATATATATATATATATATATATATATATATATATATATATATATATATATATATATATATATATAAGTCAAAAGTGTAACACCCCAGATTTTTAAGACTTTCAAAACTTATATAATAAAGATAGAATCTCATAAAATCCCAAGATACGATACAAGGAGTACGGGGTGCTATGCCACACCCGAGCTAGAGAACTTGGGTGCACAGGCTAAATTCTAAGACCTTAATAGGGATGGCAATTTCAATCCGACCCGTGGATATCCACCCGAATCCACCCCGCATGGATCGGGTTTTTTTGGGTGATGGTGGGTGGTGGGTCGGGGGTGGGTCTTAAAAAAGCAAACCCGCGGTGGGTCGGGTTGGATTCGGGTTCTATGTACAAGACCCGCCTAGAACCCCACCCGACCCACCTTGTGTGTGTATATATATATATAATAGTAAAATAAATACTAGTATGTAGTTATTTATAAAAGTTTATATAACTTCGTGTATCTTTTTACTATTTTTTATATCAAAACTACTAAATTTATTTTTAAAAATTAACAATTTAGTTATTATATTTAAATATTTCCATTATTTATGTTTTAGTACCCCTAATGGATTTTATTTTTTTTATTATGTGTAAATAATTTAAATATTATTTTTGGAAAAACATAATAAGATGATAAGTGGTGGGTACCCGTAGTGGGCACCCGCACCCGGTGGGGGTGGGGGTGGGTTTTGAAAAAGTCCACCCGATGCGGGTTGGAGGTGGGGGTGGGTGGAGAAAATATAAGGTGGGTCGGGTGATGGATGTAGCTCTCCCCGTCCCACACTCGACCCATTGCCATCCCTAGACCTTAATCAGTATCAGTACTAAATCATGGCACGCAGGCCGAAAGGGAAAAACCATCTAAGCTATGCCCCCAAGCTTCTAGCGCGCTGCAGTGATCTACTCGTCTCTGCCTGAAAGCCAAATATATCTGTTTAGCGAGAGATGTTGGTAACCCACTCCAACGCGTTGAAATACAATACATATAGATATATATATAGATATACGAAAACCGTCTTGGACATGAAGATATATCCTACGAACTCTAGCTTTTAAAACAGGGATAGACTCAACAGATAGGGCTAAGCACAGACAGCAGTTATACCAAGCATATACAACAGGCAAGACAGATAAGATAAGCACAATTAATAATCATAACCTAACATATAAGATTCCCAATATGAATCCCATAGTCACATCCCCAAGGCACTCATAACAACAACACCTCCATATCTCATCACATAGCACACTTTGTTGGTGCCACAGGACCAATCGCATGCCCATACAGGAGGGTCAGCGCATATAGCTTTGACACGGCCCCGCAGCAGCCTGCCCCGTCTCGCAACACGGAGGGGTCGATCGCAACTGATCGATGAACCGCAGCTCATCATAGTTTGATCGCAACCAAATAGTGGATCGTAACCCAAGAGTATGTCATCTGACCGCAGCCAGGAAATATGAACTGCAGCTCGTGTAGAAACGTTTGATCGCAACCAAACGGTGGACCGCAGCCCGGGAGTGTAAATCTGAACCACAGCTCAGGAATATCCAATCCGATCGTAACCGAATTGGGGTATCATGCACACATAACACATAGCAAGCACATGCAGCCCACATTAGCACATTGGGAAGGGGGAGAAAACGTATAACAAAACCTATGCGTGATCCTTCACATACTAAGAATAATCCAAAGGTGTTCATACTTCTTTCACCTAGGTCAACGGGATACCAATTCAACTAGCATGCAATATATATGACTCATACAACCTACGAACGGTACCCGAAATATCAAACTAGACATAGGCACGATAGACGGAGTCCGTTGGGACACCACGGGGGTCGGGGGAACATCAAACGGGGAAGCCAAAATCCGAAATTGGGGTGCAAACCAGCGGATAGCCGGTGGGTGAGGGTTCACCCGCCGGCTGCCCGCCGGCGGCAGCTCTTCCGGGCAGCGGGTGCCCGGCGGGCAGCTGCCCGCTGCCGGCGTTGCCCAAGAAGGCCGCGGGTAGGTAGCGGGTCCCCTACCCCCACCTACCCCACCCACCAACTCTTTTTCACCAAAAACGCCCCGGGAACCTTTGTGGAACCCGAAACCATGCTTAGACACTTTCAAACGCAATTGATAACACACGTAGGCAATTGACGGATCAAAGATCGAGAAACATATGGCACATAACCTATTATGATTTTCTAAACATAATCAACACCCAATCATGCGAATTCCCACCCAATATACCAAGAATAATTCAACACGATACAACCTAGGGTTCTAATCATTTTTAAATCAACAAGGACACAATTCATCTTCTAATATCAAGATTCGGTAATAATATCACATAAACATCAAGAACATCCTACAATCATCAAGGGCATCATATAATCATTAAGAATATCATATAATCATCAAGAACATCATAATTATCAAGAACCTTTCATCATCAAGATCACCCATGGAATCATCCCATCAATTATCAATAATAATATCATAATTCATCAATACACAATAATATGGGGAAATCCTAAGAGGGGAATCATAGCTATGAAAATAGGCTTTGTTGAGACATGAGTTACCTTTTAGCCTTAATTAATTCCTTGGCTATGAAGGGTCTTTCTTGAAGCTTTCTTCTTTCTTGATTTCTCCTAGGGGAATTCTTGGAACTTCTTGTGTGGTGAGGGATTATTGTGGTGGGGGGTTCTAGGTGCCTCTTAAGTCCCCTATTTATATATTTAGGAGTCCTAATTATGAACTAATATTATAGGCTTGGTAATTCTATTCCTTTTGGGACTAAGGATTGGGTTTAGGGATAAGAGCCCATGGACTATGGTGGGCCTTTCCTAATTAATTATTGTGATTTAATTCTTTCTTTTGGGTAATTTGTTAAATGATTAATTGGTTTTGGGTAATCAGTATCAGTACTAAATCATGGCACGCAGGCCGAAAGGGAAAAACCATCTAAGCTATGCCCCCAAGCTTCTAGCGCGCTGCAGTGATCTACTCGTCTCTGCCTGAAAGCCAAATATATCTGTTTAGCGAGAGATGTTGGTAACCCACTCCAACGCGTTGAAATACAATACATATAGATATATATATAGATATACGAAAACCGTCTTGGACATGAAGATATATCCTACGAACTCTAGCTTTTAAAACAGGGATAGACTCAACAGATAGGGCTAAGCACAGACAGCAGTTATACCAAGCATATACAACAGGCAAGACAGATAAGATAAGCACAATTAATAATCATAACCTAACATATACGATTCCCAATATGAATCCCATAGTCACATCCCCAAGGAACTCATAACAACAACTCCTCCATATCTCATCACATAGCACACTTTGTTGGCGCCACAGGACCAATCGCATGCCCATACATGAGGGTCAGCGCATATAGCTCTGACACGGTCCCGCAGCACCCTGCCTCGTATCACAACACGGAGGGGTCGATCACAACCGATCGATGAACCACAGCTCATCATAGTTTGATTGCAACCAAACAGTGGACCGCAGCCCAAGAGTATGTCATCTGACCGCAGCCAGGAAATATGAACCGCAGCTCATGTAGAAACGTTTGATCGCAACCAAACGGTGGACCGCAGCCCGGGAGTGTAAATCTGACCGCAGCCAGCTTCTGAATCGTAGCTCAGGAATATCCAATCCGATCGCAACCGAATTGGGGTATCATGCACACATAACACATAGCAAGCACATGCAACCCACATTAGCACATTGGGAAG